GTAAGTTATCAAAATTATGAAGCATATAATATTAGTAATCAAATTCCTTATTGCAAAATATAGATCTTGTTAATTGCAATACAAATAATATCATGTTCTCCATACATGTATCAAAATTTTGTCAAAAAAGCCTCCATATTATCCAATGTTAGATCTTGTCATTCAAAAAAAGATGAAGACTATGATAATGGTGAATCTAAAAGAAGTGTATCAATAAATCTAACTTGTAATCCTAGAATTAGATAGCTTTAGAGTTGATTGATAAATCTTTAAAATTTATATTTTGTGCCATCAAACTTCTCAAGCAATACAAACATTGATTTTTTAATAGTGGAAGGGTACTCTATTATTGGAGAAGGGATATGATTTGATTCAGATGTTGAAGCAACTCCAATCATCTTCATATCTTTGCTCTCTATCATTCTTGTTGCTTTTTATGGTGATAAATTGAATTAATGTATCGCAAGCATTAACTCTCTTTAGTGCTTTTGCATTTGTACTATTGCACTCTTCATTCTCAAAAGCTCTACCATTATAACACTTAAAGAAGAAAAGATATCTAAAATTGCTCAAGACAAATAGAAGAGAGGATTTGAGAACAAAGAAAATATTACAGATAATTTTACTTTAGAAGAGGATAATCTGCAACTTCTAATAAACTTATGTTTTATAAAAAAAATGAATAATCCACTCTTAATAAAATAAAGACAAAGCTCCAATATTTTAAATATATTCTTGTTGATTTATTAAGGACAAGAACCTAATGAAAGCAAATAATCAAATGAGATTTTTTTTGAAGAAATATGACAAAACAAAAGTAAAGAAATATATATTTTAAAAAGAAACTAAAATGGCTATTATGAAAAGATAAGAAAACTTAAGATTCTTGAATCTAGACTAAAAAAAAAAAAAAAAAATGACAAGAATGAAGAAGGCTTCACTCTTACTTCTATATATACTATCTATTTAGGAGCTATGTGGTGACGTTCTATAGGACCTCTAACATGTATTGACTTTACAAGCCACAAGTCTTAACTTGCAAAGTAAGTTTTTTATGTGTATACCACATGTCTTAATTTGCAAGGCAAGTTTTTTATGTGTGCACCACATGGTTACCTCTTTCTATAAGCTATCTATATAGATAAAATATGGTTAATTTGTTGAAGAAGTTTTTAATTAAAAGTCAACTATAAATATGTGTAAAGTCAAACTTATATCTATGAAGCTTTTAGAAAGATTTAATATAACATATTATGAAATTAATCTACTTTCATTTATTTTTATCTACTTATATCTAATTATATAGGTAATTAGTAGTGTAAGTAAGTGTATTCATGATAGTATGTCTTTGATAGTGAAGTACATGCCAATGTTATGCTTTTTGCTCATCCATTGAATTTATGTAATATAATGAAGTCCATGGATGTTATAAAGTAGAAAAATACTATAAAAGAAGCATAAAAATCACTCATGGATAATGGAACATAAAAATTGACTCAACTTCTAGCAAATCAATCTTTAATTGATTGTAATTGGATATTTAAAACCAAAAAAGATGTAAAAAGAAATATTATAAGATACGAGATTAGATTTCTTGTCAAAGTATACTCACAAGTTGCTGGTATTGATTTCAATGAGATATTTTTTCCTACAGCCAAATTTACTATGATTACAACCATTATAGCAATTGGAATAGTAATGGACTTGAAGATACATCAAATTGATGTAAAGTTGGCTTTCTTGAATAGAAATTTGAAAGAAGATATCTAGATGGATCAATCTTAAGGATTTGTTAAAGAAGGCAAATATCATATTATTTATAAGTTGAAGAAATCTTTGTATGGGCTCAAGCAATCATCAAGGATATGACACCAACATATTAATATATTCTTTTTGAATAAAGAATTTATAAAAAGTGAGGCTGATTATTCCGTGTATGTAATTTAATCAGATAAGTTTATTTTAATTATCATCTTTTATATTGATGATTTGTTCATCTTAACTAATACCTTGAAGATGATGGATTATTTGAAGGCAAAATAAAAAAAAAACTGTGAGATGAATGATTTGAAAGAGCTTTGTTATTATTTAGGAATAGAGTTTGTGAGACATTATACTGAGAAGACCATCACAATGAGTCAAAACAAGTACATTAAAGAGATATTAAAACAATTCAACATAGATAAGTATAAGCTTATTATAACATCTTTGGAGCCAATTTGAAGTTGATGAAACTAATGGATGAGGAATTTGTTGAAGTTGAAAATAAAATTTAAGATATTCTATATAAGGTAATAATATGCTCACTTATTTATGTAATAGTTGGCATAAAGGTGGATCTTGCATATGTAGTGAGTGTTATAAGTCAACACATATCAAAGACTAAATCAATCCATTGAACAACCATCAAAGGAATATGAGACATTTAAAAGATATTTTATATGTCGAATTGTGGCTTAGAGGTGATATCATTATTTTGTATGGTTATTGTGATGCAAATTGGGGTAGAAATGTAAATGATAGAAGGTCAACAAGATGATATGTGTTCTTTGTCAGAGTGGGAGCTATTTCATGGAATTGCAAGAGATAATCAATAATTGTAAAATCAATAATAGAAGTGGAATACTTGATAGTAAATCATGGTGCAATAGAGGCAATATGGCTAAGATAAGTCTTAGAGGATATTGAAATAGTATAAATGGAAGCAACTCCAATAGAATGTGACAAATAAAGATGTCTTATTTTTTTAAAGAATCCAAAGTATCATTCAAAGACCAAGCACATTGATATTTAATATCACTTCATAAGAAAAACATTACAATATGAGTGATTGATATCAAGTATTGTGCAATAGAAGACATGCTTGCTAATTTGTTGAAAATTTTACTATTAAAGGATAGAAATCATATATTAACTAAAGGATTAGGATTAAAAGCATTTGATCAATATCAAAAGAAGAGTATTAAAATAAATAAATAAAAATAAAATAAATTTCATTCTAAAAGCTATTACCTTAGATAAGTTATTAATTGTCAAAAGATTGATTCTAATGATATGAAAATTACATTCCGTCGATGTAGGATAAGATCAAGAGTCAAGAATCAAAATTAAGATGATAAAGTATCAACTAGGAAATAATTGAAGACTAGGTAAGAGTAATTAGTGTTTGGCATAGGATACCTTTGTGGTAAGTTAGATGCCAAAGGATCTTAGGACTATATGTATAAAAGTCAAAAAGTGGAAATTATCTTTTAAGGCAACAATTGCCACCTATAAATAAGAAATGAAAGATATCTTACTTTATACTTTCTTTGTATGCAATCTTGCTAATGCTATATGTTGTATCTTCAAAAGTTTTTTTTTCTTCATTAAGCACTATTATTTTTTATTTATATATAAGAGCCTTATGAATAAAGCCATCATTTGTTTTTTTAACAACAATAAATGCCATTATATCATATATGGACCTTCATTATTGGTTTTAAACCAACAACTATTTTTACATATTTTTTGCACTCAATGATTTGTAAAACATTTATTAGTCTTATTATATATTATATATTGACCCGATCTTCACAATTGTCATTAATTTGTATTCTTGAAATGTTTCACATATAATTTTTACTATGAGCAATATAAAAATTTAGATATTTTTTTCTATGAATTATTTTGACGAACATATATTTTTTTTATAAATAGATTCTTATATTTTGTTATAAATTTCTGATATATAATATATACCAATTTAATATTTTTTAAATAAATTGAATTATTACAAAATAAATATTTGAAGAAAATTAGGTTATTAAACACACACACACACACACACACACACACACACACATATATATATATATATATATATATATATATATATTTATCTTAATTTGATAATTATATTTTTAAAATTAAATAAATATTTAAAAATAAAATAGATAGAATTATTATTTTAATATTTTTATTTTTTAAAGTTTTTAATGCATTTTTTATCCTAATATTGAATGGAATTAAAATTTAATATTTTTCAAATTCTAAATTTTTACATTCTATTTTAATATTTATTCATCCAAAAAATTATTATTCTAAGTCTTATAAATTTAAAACCATATTTAAATTATAATTCAAAATTATTTAATTTAAAACATATAAAAAAATTTATATTATTTGTTTAGTAATATATTACTTTTTATATGTTACATATACAAATAAAAATGCTTTAATGAATAAAAAATAAACCTTATAATAATGAAACAATAATATTAATATTATTACTAATTTTAACTTTTTTATAAATTAAATAAATTTAATTATATAATTATCTTTTTTTAATATTTTTCAAAATAATTATAATGTTCACAGTCACTAAAAATGAGTATCACAAATTTTAAAACCACAATAGTGTAAATATTTTTTTGATGTTCAAATCATTGAGCTAGCTTTTGATCATGTAAAGATGTTTAGAAATCAGATATCCAAAAAGCAACATAATTCTTATGCTTGAGAAATTCCTCATAAAACAAACACATGTTTAAAATTACAACTATTTCCTCCAGACTTTTGAAATCAACTATTCAATCGCCCCAGAAAATATAAAAGATATTTTTCCACTCTTTAGAAATAATTTATCAAAATTTCATATAGTTTTAAACATCAAAGGTAAATTTGTATTTATCTTGAAAGTAGTAAATAAAAAATAAGAAAATCATGTATTGATTATAAATTATATCACGAAATTTCAATGCATCGAAAACAAGACACGAAAAACAACCTTGTTGTCGTCAAAGATTTATTGACGTGAAATGACTTCTAAAAAAACATGTTTGTATAGACTGATGAATAAAATATTAATTAAATTGCATCAAACGAAAGTCGTGGAGTGGCCGCGGACGAAGCCATCCATCCATCCATCCACCCATCCATCCGGATGACGAATGAAACTTCCTTCGTGATCATCGTCACTATGACGATTCCGCATGGAAAACGTCGTCGTCTAAGGGAGACTGGGTAGGGCTGCTATCGAGAGAGCATCCGACAGATATTGCATAGATTGGTAGCATCATCCCCGAGATTCCGACTGCCCAAGCATTGTTCGGGCAATTGGGTTTGTTGAGAAATTGAATCTTGATGGAAAGGAGCGCTTGATTTCGTTGTGCAGATTTCGGTGTGCTTTGAGATAACAGTAGTCAGTGAGGGAGCTCCGCAGCCATGGCTCTCGCAGCTCTGCGTCCTGTGACCAATCGCCTTGCCCTTCTCCGTCGACTGGCTTCGCTCTCGTTTTCTTCCCAGCTGATTGCGCCTTTCAATTCGAATCCCACATGGCAGAATTCAGACCACGTTGCTGGAGTTCCCTCGGTGACGCCTCCAGTCTGTGGGGGTTTTTCGCGGCAAGTACGAGAGCCTCACAGCGAGGTGTTGTCTGGTGCTGCATCGATCGAGCAGTCTCCTGCTGCGGCTGCAGGGGAGCATGCGATCCGTAACGAGCCTAGGAATGATTGGACTCGCGAGGAGATCCAGGCCATCTACGAGTCTCCATTGATGGATCTCCTGTTGTATGGGGTATGCTACTTCACTTGTCTTTGGTTTAGTCATTTCGTTGAATTCGGCTTCTGTAGATTCTGTTGTGATTGATCAGTAGTTGTAGGGCTTTTGGTGTTGTGCAATGTGCAATGTCTGGCAGCTGATGTCAAGGGCTTCTGTCAGGCTCAAGTTCACAAGCACACACACACGTGGAGGGAAGTGCAGCAGTGCACATTGCTGTCTATCAAGACGGGTGGGTGCTCGGAGGACTGCTCTTACTGTCCGCAGTCTTCACGTTATAATACGGGTGTCCAGGCTCAGAAGCTGCTCTCCGAGGATGTCGTTCTGGAGGCTGCGAAGAAGGTACGCCTCATTCTCACACTTAGCACAACGAATTGTATGCAAACTCATTTTGCGTGTCGTCGTCCTTCAGTCCAGCAAGCCTTGCGCAGTTGTACCAAGGCATGTCGTCCTTCCAAAAGCACGTGCCCTTGATTTCCTAATACGCTGGCATTGACTCATCGCCCTAAAACTCAGGCCAAGGAAGCAGGGAGCTCAAGATTTTGCATGGGAGCTGCTTGGAGGGATACTGTTGGAAGGAAAACTAACTTCAATCAGATCCTAGAATACGTCAAGGAGATTAGGTAATGCATGTCAACGTTAAACCCACCTTTTTTGTCTCGTGTTAGAGAATGTTGGCCCTCCTAAATACGTCTCTCCTTCACATCTTTGCATTAGAGAGCGTGAGAATCGTGAAGATCAGTCCATCTCAAGCTTTGTTGTGTATGTTCGATTGTCTTTGAGTAGGGCTATGGGCATGGAGGTATGCTGCACATTAGGTATGTTGGAAAAGAAGCAAGCGGAGCAACTCAAGACTGCTGGACTTACTGCTTATAATCATAATCTGGATACGTCCCGAGAATACTACCCGAACATCATTACCACACGATCATATGATGAGCGACTTAAAACACTTGAGTTGGTTCGAGACGCTGGGATCAGCGTGTGCTCAGGTATTATGTCAAGCAGCTTGAGGGTTCACAATTCGAGACAGTCTGACGTATCCGACATCGTATTTTGAAGATTGCCTTTGCACATTATTCTGCTGATAGTTTTGAATGGGCTCCGCGATACTATGTTTGTGCAGGAGGTATCATTGGACTCGGTGAAGCGGAAGAGGACCGCGTGGGGCTGCTACATACTTTAGCCACTTTGCCGGAGCACCCCGAAAGTGTTCCCATAAACGCGCTCCTTGCAGTGAAAGGCACCCCACTCGAGAACCAAAAGGTTGTTTCGACATTCCATCGTACTGGCCCTCTTTTAATCAGAATGGAAATAGTCTTCACATTATTTTTCAGTAACTTCAGAAGTACCATGATACGTTAAACGCACTTTCAGATGGAGGTGAATTTTAACGTGTTGATTTGGTCTGACCATAGCCTGTGGAGGTATGGGAGATGGTGCGGATGATTGCAACAGCTCGCATCGTAATGCCAAAAGCAATGGTACGATTGTCAGCTGGGCGAGTGCGCTTTTCGCAGCCAGAGCAGGTGAAGTCTTAGAGACTCGGAATTATTGGGTGCGCTTGCATTGTATGAATGAAGCGGATATCTATGATGAGATTTATGTTTATTGACCCACTGGCTCTGGTGTTCTCTGTGAAGGCATTGTGCTTCATGGCAGGAGCCAATTCAATTTTCACTGGGGAGAAGTTGTTGACAACTCCAAATAATGATAAAGATGCCGATCAACAGATGTTTCAGACGCTGGGTCTCATCCCCAAGCCTCCCAACTTCCAACTAGGCCATTCCTATTCCAGTGGAGATGAAAGTGTCGAGGAAGCTGCCGTTTCTGCTTAAGATCCGTTCCTATGGTTTCCTTCATGGATTTGAAGCAATGTTGCAAACACTTCTTTTCGCTTGTAAGCATATTTTTCCCCAGATTCCAGCAGGTTCACAGAGGTTAGTCATTTTTGAAGACTTGATTGTGTGAAACTTATTTAGAGTGGTTACATTATGACTACACATGATGGAGGATTAGCTCATTCACACGTTTCTACACCAATTACAGATTCCCCCCTGGTTTGAATCACGTGATCAGTGCATGACCTTCTATTCCTCCTCCATACCAGCGCTTTGGTCCTCAGGGTATCCAATCAGCAAACTGAAACATAAGTTCGAGGCTGTCTGTTGATTGCCAGCATTGGTCTCTCTACTGGTATTCCTTCTTTATATCAGCATCTTTGGGTGGCTGTTTAGTTATTTGTAGTAGTTCTGACTTGCATTCTGCTCGATGAATGACACCTAAGTGTCTTTTTTTTTTTTTTTTTTCTCTGTTTCACCTAACACACATCCTTCTGAGGGTTGCATATGATCGTGACACGTTTCCTCGCTCTCGAGTCCAACTGGCTATTCATATATAGGTATTTTCTGGAGTTTTATGTTACTGTCAATGCTGACCTCCTAAATTTCGACCTCTAGGTCAGCCTCAATACCAGCAATGTCGTTTATGATTCTGTCAACTATGTTGTCAACATAAGCACTGGACTCTTCATAAAACCCAGCCATGCTGACGCTGGTACTTTGATCGACCTCCATTGTTGAGCGAGGCACTTCATCCTGTTTTCGGTGAATTCCCTTGGCTTTGATGTTAAATTCTCTTGGTTTTGATGGTATCACCTCAAATGCCAGCTTTCGGTCTCCTGCTGCAAGTATTGCCTTAACCTCCACCTCAGTTGGGTCCTCACTCATCTCGGATGTAAAAGGAGTAAATGGTGATTCTTCCTGGCAGATTTTAGTTTGGGGTAGAGCTCTAATAGTAGGCTTCTCCGTCTCCTCGTCTGTGACTGGCACTTGAACCTTAATTTGCCCAGCAGCACCGGTGTGTCTAGTAGGTTCTTGGAGCATCTTTGTTGCAGGTACTTTTTCAGACAGAACCTGGTCAGGAGTCTCGCCTAAAATGAAGCTTCTCTCAATAGCCTCCATCGCATTAGCTGGCTGCACATACACAACAAAATTCTGAAGAGTCTGAGCGCCCATTGCGTTGTTCACCACAGCTTCTGCATCAGCGAGAGATCTCTCTAACTCAGTCAATAAAGTGGGGGTTTTGTCTTGTACAGCTTCCGCAGCTACATTTGCTGAATATGATGTCTTGGCCCCAGACTAGTCTGCAGCTACTGGGACAAGGTTGGGTGATCAACTTCGCTGGTGAGGTTAGTGGCCAGGATTGGAGAATCTTTCTACTGTGCGTAAGCGCGCATTACCTTGGCATCCTTAGCGAATTCTGTAGTTCCTTCTGCTGGGTGTAACCGTTCAGCCTCAACACCTGCAGGTTCGTCTTGCAAAGCAGATGGTTCTTCCATAGTGGTCTCTACTGGCCGCATCGCATCGCCTACGTCAAGTACCATCTTTACCATCTCATCGTCTGTCTGTGCCTGCACTGGCAGCGCCATCTGTACAGTCTGCATCATTTCAAAATGCATTCCTGTGTAGCAGTGAAATAAACTGCAACTGGATACGAAATCTTTATTAAGGTGGATCAAGTATCAGGGATTATAAACAGCGCGAGACCTGGGGTATGGGTTTCTTGGAAACGGCCAGTTCTGGAGATGACAGAACCCATGGCCTAGCCTCGGCAGTTGCGATGGCTTCATTGGGAGGCAATGGTTCGTGTTGCCCCTGCTCCGTTTCATTTCTGGCATTGCCTGCAGGTTCCCTCTCAGCCCGCATCGGTTCTTCCGTTTCCATGAATTGTGCTTCATGACGACCTTCCTCTTGGAACTCCCAAGCTGTAGCTGCAATGTTTTCCTGAAACGTTTTGCACCAGTTTGTTATTGGATTCATTCAAAGCATCGGTTGTCTTCCCAAATCACGCAATCACATACTAAAACATGTCGCATACTACTAATACCTGTGGTATTGAATCACCCAAATCCAGCACCCAGATTTTCTTCGGAGGGGCAATTTGTGGATCGAAGTTCGGAGGAAACGCTTTGAGGAATTCTTCATTACTATTGAAGTCCATGTGTGCCGCACAAGTTGAGATTGCCGCAGCAATTGCTACCAAGTTTCAAGTGGAAAATGGGAAATCTTTGATTAGGATTAGGGTTTTGAACTTACTGCAGCCTTGGAAGATTGTAAGGGACTCGGTTGAGAATGCAAACCATTTACACAAGTAGCTCCACTTGCACTTATCCATTCATTCATTCACTTAGAAAAGACGCCATTTTTAGTTATTTTTGCTGAGGTGGCATGATAGTTTTGGATTGGTGGAGTACAGAGGTTCCAATTACTGTTTCCAAAATTTCTTTGTCGACGTTTCATGTGTCAAAATTGATTGCCTTTATTTTTTTGTATTGTACATTAATTTGAATTTGTGATTCATCAAGTTTTGTGGATTGTCACATGAATGGCTTAATGTGGTTATTTTATGAAAATGTATAATGTCAGCAGAATTATGTTGAACACAAACTTCTAACTAGAAACATGTGCCAATAAGCACAAAGGTATCCTTATAACAATATGGAGATTGTTTTATTAAAAGTACATAAATTTATATGTTTGTGAGTATACATTATACTTGGAAAAATTAATAAAAAAATAAAGTACAAGATGTACTAATGCACAAACTTGCTGATCATATTAAAAATAAAAGATGCCAACTTCACAAAGTCTTGTAACAAAGTTTCAACTACTAAGTTATTTTTGAATTTTAACTATGAACCAATTTTTGCAAATTTTTCTCTTTCCTTTTGCAAAAAAAATATTTATTGTTGTTTTGGCTATACATGTTTTGTTTTTTCATTACTTGAAATATTATAAAAAAAATTATATATGTATATTGCAATTATATATATACATATATATTATTTCTAAATTTATAAATACGGAATTCGTTTTCTTAACATATAATAAATTTGGTGGCAAAGAATTTTGATATGTATTTTAATTTTGGTTTTTTTACATGCTCTTATAATGCTTGTTGTTGATAGCTTTTACTCCAGCAACTCTCAATAATAAAAACCCCTTAAAGATATATAAATTCATAATTCCCTATCAACTCAATATTTTAATGGTAGAAAATATGTCTTTTTTTGTGTTTAGCATGATAATGTGATTAATGTGACACCTTGACTTACTTTCAATAGAATGTATTTTGGAAAACAATTTGCAGTGAATTGTGGTTTATCAAAATATTAGCATAAATATTTTCAATGCTATTTACATGCAACTCTTTTGAGTGAGGTAGGAAAATACACTACCTTGTACTTTATTATTATTTATAAAGATGCAATAAGTATCTTCTGTACTTTTAAATTTGGAAGACAATAGAAGTTTTGTACTACAACAAATCTTATAAGAATCAGAATGGATTAGCTTTGAAGTTGGACTAAGAAATTTATTGGATTTGTAGGATTAAACGCCAGAAACAAATTTTATAGGAACATGCTACAGTATAAAAATATTGTTATAGTTTCCATAGAGGTTTTTTCACTGATTAATAGAACCTCCAACCTGCTTAGTTGGCTACAGCAACAAAAAACACTGCTACGGTCGGTGACTCAAGCACAAACTCACAACGCCACTGTTAGGAACAAAACCTTCTTTGATGTTAATTTTTTAAGTTTTAGAAAATATTAGTTATCAAATATTGATTTATCATTATGCCAAAATTTACTTTGAAATCTAACAAAATAATTATAATATTTGTATTTTTTTATTCATTTGATTAATTTACTTGATTAAGATTATAAATGTGGTTGTAATTGATATCTTAACCACATGAAGTAAACACAATAGGATTGTACTACATACTAAATATAATAAGCCTTCTAAATTATTTTTTATTTCTATTTTGTAATATCTATTCTTTGCTTTAATTTATTCTAAAGATGCTTTTTAATAATAAATTTGGGACTAACGATTTTAACATATTTATACTATTATTATTAATTCTTAATTAAATTGATAGCCTTGAGTTTACAATCAATACAATTTTTTACCACTTAGGTATTTATTTTAAATAAGATATAATATTTCTGAAAAATCATTAGGTTGATTCTTAAAATTTCTAACAGTAGATTAAAAAATATATAAAATATAGTTTAAAATAACAGTTACATAGAAACAACACCTATCAATTAAATATCTAGTCTGAATAACATACTTAATTTAAAATATTGAATTGAAATCTTTGTATTTTTTGGCATTAAAATTTAAAGTGTATACCCAATAATAATGATAGATTTCAACTTTTAATTTACTCTTTCGATCATATTCAATTTACAAAATTTTAATGTTAAATTGTTCCATCAATCCAACGTTTGTATTCTAATATATGTATACATATATAAAGCTCATTATATGTAGAGTTTCTCTATTCCACTATTATTTTGCTTTCTAAACTTTCAGTCTAATAATTAAAAAAGAAGAAATGATTTAAACAATCTTCAGGCTCTGTTTCATCTACTACAACCTTTTAAACTGTCTCATAAGTCATTTCGATTACATGCTTTGAATTATAATAAAATCCAATTAATGTACATGTTGAGCTAAAAAAAATAAGTGATCCTGGAAATTGCATCAAAAACGAAGGTAGAATTTACTTCAAATATATACCTTCATAATATGAAAAATATTCAAAAGATAAAGAATAGTAAATCCACTAGTTATCTTTTAATGACAAATAAGTTAAATTGGTAGTATTAAGTTTATTGTAGATATAAAATATGTACAATGAGTTTTTGATTAAGCTACAAGTAAATTACAATTACAAAATAAGAAGCTATCCAATAACTAAATGTTCTTAATTCCATAATCAACGTGATTATTTATAACCATTTACAATACATCGACACTAAAGATGTCTTTTTGAATAAAGATGCTAATAGAATTAAAATTAAACTGTCAGGAATATATATTTTTAAAATTTTTAAAATTTCCCATTTTAAAGAAAACGCATAATTTAAGAAGTGTTGTAAACAATAATTTTACTAAATTTAAAATAACAACCAAACTAATTTTACTAATCAAGCATGATTCAACAGCAATGTGACTCTACATGCAAGCCTCATTTGACTTCACCAACAGGAATATTTCAGCCCACTTGTTTTATTAGAAACATGAATACAAATTATTCCGATTGTTTATTTTGATTTTATTAATGAACAGTGACAGAAAGACAAAACAATGTAAAGTAATGGGACACAGACACAATATCACTAATTTTACGAACACCCACTCACAAAGATTATGTTGCAGATAACGGGCACAAGCACAAGCAAGGCAGATAAATATATTACAGGTATTTTTGTTAATTAATTCTAAAAACAATACACCCATTCACTTCTAATTTGGAACTGTACTCATTTCGCTGAGATTGTACAACTGGGTGAAAGTCTAAGTGCAAAGATAGTATGTACAACGATGAGAGTTCCACCGAAGCATATCGACATCACTGTAGCAAGAGGATGCGTTTTTTCTGATGTCCCAGCTCTGAATATGGCCTCGAGTGCCATTTGCACGGCATCCTTTTTTAATGATCTTCGGCAGAGTTTTTAGCAGCCAGCCCGCACGAACAATCCGATGCAAGTGTTTGTCGGATTCTTCCAAGGGTTTTGCCATTTTCAGGTCCCTCAGGGTTGTCGCAAGAACGCCGCTAATTAGCAATGGCTGGCTGGCTCGGGGATTCGCCATTCTCTCTCAACCCATCCAATCGTGGCAATCGATGCGACTGGCAGCCGAGTAAGAAGAACGGCAATCCAGCTCCCGCACCTGCTCCACCTTCATCCTCCGACTCGGATCGAAAGCGCACAAATCTGCTGCCTTGTAATCCAGACGACGAGGCTGTATAACAGACAGATCTCACCTCAATCGGCTCAGCTTTTCTTCTCGTAATTCTAGAAGGAGGATCTTGTTAGTCCATCTACAAATTAAGTAAAAGAAGAAGAAGGAGATGGTGAAAAATGAAGGGGGACTAACAATCTAATGCAAGTGGTTCACACACTCAAATGCTGCCGCACGTCGGACCATCAGGAGCTAAGTCAGCTCGCAGTGCCCATAGCGTAGCTGTTGCGAGATGAACCGCTCTACCGCGGCTCGATCGTGTGATGCGTAAATTGCGGACGAGGAAGTTGAATGCGGGCAGCGAGAAGAAGCACACACGAGCCCATCGAAGGTGAACCGTCGGCCGAAGTGCAGGAAATTTTGATGACGCTGTCAAGATGGTTCACGGCGCTACAGAGCTTGCGATCCACGAAGTAGTGAGCGTGGTGCCGCCTTTATCATGCGACTGACACAGCGGGCGGGCGGACGGGGCGGGAGTGTCTGCATTGATGGGGCGAGGCGGTTGCATTCAGACATCCCCCCCTGCGGCACCTGACATCGCTCCCCGAACATGGGCATGTATGCAGAGGCGGGGCCCATGGCGCTGCCCCAAAATTCTCCCTGTCGCTTTGCGTTGTCCTTCGAATCTGACCCATGCTGGGGCATCGCAAGCTGGTGGCCAAAACTGGAGGCCGCGACGGTTATTGATAGCTTGCTAGATTACCAGATCAATATAGACACACATAGAGAGATCGATCGATCGGTCGATGTTATTAAACCCCGTCCATGTGGATGCTTTGTTATCGAAGATTAATATATTATTATTGTTATTACTATTGTTTCGCGGGGATTAGAAAGGCACGTCCTGTGTGTTATCATGTGCACTGCTATAGAGCAGTCTGACCCTGCATTTTGATGCACTTCGATACACTCTGGAAACTTGATACATTATATTGTTACTCCACACGAAATCTTGTTGTTGTTGTTGTTGTCAGGCCATGTTGTAACACATAAAAGTGGGTGTGTGTGTGTGTGGGTGTGATGTCATTGCTTGTCATAGTCCTGTGGTTCTAACGTATACCGATGTGCCTTCACGCAACAGCATTGAATGTACATGAAACTTGACATAAAGCTTTGCGTACCATGAAGGTGTTCAAAAGGTCTTGTTTAATTACTATTTAAAATGCAAACTTGGGATGGTGTCCTCTCGGATTATCCAT